AGGATGTAACATCCTGGACAGGGAGGAATGCTGGTTTGAGCGCGGAGTCAAGGACGCCATTTACGTGAAAAGGGAAAAACCATCTCTGAATCTAGGAGGGGGCCTAAGGGTCCATCTGTCACCATCTTAATGCTGTGATTGCAGACGTTTCCCAACTCTCTGTGAATGGTACTCAAGACCATTGATCAGTGGTTGTTGATCAATGGTGATGACAATTTGCATATTAATGATGAAGGAGCTGACCTCCCAGCCCACTGTTCCTTCAGTGGGCTGGTTTCAGTCATTATGCAAATATCCTGTTTATAAGATTGAAACCTGCAGTCAGCTGAGACTGAAGAAGTCACTTGGATGAGTGACGAAACGTTTCTCCCACAAAACGCTACGTCCAGATTAACAGAATCAACTTTTGTAGATGAACAAGAAATTCTTTAGACTTCATGTAACCGGCTAAAGACAGGCTGGTTTGCTTCCAGAGCTTTTACTGACTCCAAACACCAAGTTTCATCATGTTCAGACCAAAATTCACTGAATGAGCCGCAAAAATAGACCCCAAAACACATAGCAGCGCAAATGCGCTGAGACAGAAATTGACTTACTGTACCGATATCCTCCGTTATTTTCGCTGGTAGCCAGTAGCCACGTGATTATCAGCAGTTACCACGCCTACCTAGCTGCATGGGAGCCGTTTTCCGTCAACAACCTCGATTGTAGACCCACCTATAGACATGTGACTGGACAGACGTCACATGCAGTAAATTTGGGCCCACGTGGGTTTTGGCATTGCAACGTCTGATTAGTTGAAGTGACGTGAACGTGGCATCGTTACTGTGATCCTATTGGCTCAAACGATTAAAAAGAAGTGTCAATCATGTAAATTGACCAAAAGAAACCAAAGTTACAGCCCCTCAGAGAATTAAACGCTCCATGCGCACGGCAGAAGAGGGCCAATACTATGTAAATGTGTGGTTAATTCTTCAAAAATGTACATATATTTTTTTAAAAAAGAAGCTTTTTTAGGCCTGTTAATAAAATTTATTAATTTCTGCTCTTTAAGTCCTAAAAAATTAAACTGGCATGGTGTCCCATTGTGTGCCAAAATTGAACATTCATTGTTTTCAGCTAGAAAATAAAACTAAATAGTGTACATGGCATTAGTAATACAACTATGGTGGCCATTTATATCAGTTCTTCCAATTTATGAGTCAAGAGGAGAACATCAAACTGTCTTTGCACAACTACTTACAAAGATATTTCCCTTCCCACTGTTTAAATAAAACCCCTTAATTCTGAATAATTCTTGTCTTTCTTTATTTCTCTTCTCATTTCCTGTGCCATACTTTCTGTTTCCTGTTGAAAACAAAGCAAATCTTAATCTCAATGAGATTACCAATCTGATTTGAGCTAATAAAAGAACAATGTGCAAAAACCCTGGAACAAGCATCCACCTCTACGCAACAACTGTCTTCCGTGTCCAGCCCGTTTAATCCACAGCGGGGAGCGGATCACTCCCTCTTAATCCAATCAACATCGACTCTCACATGAGTAGATAAGGTGGGGAGAGGTAACCGCTGTGTGCTAGCCGAGAGCCAAGGAATGTCACATTTTTACCTTGCAACAGGAGAAATGCATCACGTGATTTGGCGAGGATGGGATTTTTGTACATTTTGAACTTTTATAAAACATCTTTAAAAAGATCTGGAACATGTCCGGATTGTTGGAAGGAAAATTAGTCTAAATCTAAAATGAAATCTACATCCACCCTCTCTCTAAAGGTGTAAAAGCTTTAATCCACGCCCTTTCCACTCACACGCGTGCACCACTGCCAAGACACCAACAGCGTCTTCTGATGGCACAGTGTGACATCAATCAGCAGATACACGACCGCGCAGGAGAGCGCGGGCACGTTGATTTGAAACCATAACTGCCTAATGAGCGTCAGAAGAGTGATCGTGTGACAAAAGGCTGCAAAGATATTCAGAGTGAAACGGTGAAAGTTAACAGACCGAGGCTTCAAAGTGATAATCAGACATGCAAATAAGAATCACACCGACAACACGCAGCTCAACACGGCCAGGACAGATCTCTGCAGCATCCATCACGAAATGAACCCGCTCCCCTGTGCAAGAGTTGAAATGCAAAATAAGCAAAAACAGCAAACATGTAAAAACACAGTTCGCCTACCCATGTTTTCAGCTGTTGTGGAAGCTGGTCCGGACACTGTAAGTGACTGTAAGGTGATGTCCACAGGTTGTCTGGAGAGGTCGGGAAGGAGAGGGGAGGGGGGAGGCAGAATGAAAACAACTGCACGTCCCGTTCTGGAATCAGAGGGAGGAGGAGGAGGGGGGGTGACGTCACCCCGGGGTTAGAAATGGATAAGGCTTCATTAATCCAAACGCACAAGACAAGTGTCCTGGTCAGTTCTTCGCCTAATTATAAGACAGAGGTCCACTTTAACAAAGCGCAGCCCAGCTTTAACTCATTTAAATCTGTTTTACATTTGTTTGTTCGCTCATTGAATATTTATGTATGTGTTTTTTCTTTTTAAATAGCTTATTATTTATTTATTTATTCACTGGCAATAAATAAATAAATAATTCATGAAAATATTTCTTTATTTTTTGCTCATGAAATGATCATATCATCACATCATCATGTCATTTACTTTTCCTGTGACGCCCATAATCACTGACTCATGAGTCATAATAACAATTTTGAATATACAACTTATATGAAAAATATTTAATTTTTTCAATATTTATTTGTCAATAAAAATAGTATATTTTTACATGAGCTTGTTTTTATTTATAGTTTTCATTTTTAATTGAATAATAATTGAAAATAATTGAAAAGATTTAATTACCCGATGTTCTCTAATGTGTTCCTGTGACTTTCATAATCATAATGAATTGCAGACAACAAACATGTTATCTTGTTGTATAACATGTTTTTTAAATCATGTATCTATTTATTGATAAATGTGATTTTAAAATTAATTTGCATTTATTTACTCTATTTACTGGCTAATCAGTTGGTTAAAACAACAAGTGTAAGTCATTCCGATGTGTCACCACTTTACAAAGACCTGGACGAAGAACCAAACCTTCATCTTTAGGAAATTGATTACGAGGTTTAGAAGCAACCCAACCCCAACCAAGATACAAGCAACTGCTCCAAAACCAGCACCTTTAAGCTCAAATAAAATCTGCAGTTGCCCACGTAGACGAGCCAAACACCATCTGGAGAAAAGTTTTATAGTTGAGGTGTTTGGTCACAGTTTGCAGTAGTAAAGGTGAAGCTTTCCAACCTAACAACAGTGTATCAGCTGTCATCATGCTCTGGGGCTGTATTGCTGCTACTGGTACTTCTTTAGCACGAAGTCTACCTCCATATTCTCCAACTTCACCTTAAATCAACAGATGGTTTCAAATGTGGACCCAGTTTGGTGTTCCAACAGGACAATGATCCCAAATATACATCAAAACTGGTTTTGGAATGGAAAAGCAGGCTAACATTGAACTCCGAAAAGCCCTTCTGAAAGCCTCAACCTCAAGCATTCTGAAAATTTGAGGACTATGTTTAAAGGTTGGGTCCATGCTGGGAAACCAAACAAATTAAATGAAGTCTACCAACTCAATGAAGAAGACTGGTCAAATATGTAATTTTTCTATATTTAAATTTAAATTTAATTTATATAGCACTAAATCACAACATCAGTCGCTCAAGGTGCTTAAAAGCTCTTTAGAAGCTCACTGAGGGGGAAAAAGTATCCAGTACTTCACAAAAAGATTAGAGAAAAGCCCAACAAGTAAGAACTTTAGTTTTTCTCGTCTCCGCTCCCGTTAATCTCGCGACCCATCTGATTTATCTCATGACCCCGCAGAGGGGAATCAGAGGACTGAAATACCAAACGTCCCTTCTGAGCAGCTGAATACAGAGTACTGAAAGTGCTAGCATCACAGTTTCACTTCCTTTTTCTTTTTTGATAAGTAAGAAAAACACAAAATGCCTGCATTTTTTTTAGTGTCAACACTTAATAATTAAATCATTACATTTAATGAAAAATAAAACTGCATTTGCATCCACTACCCCACAAATTCAGAAATAAATCTTCCAAGTCTGACACTAAAAGCTTTAATGTATGTTGAGAAAATAAAAATTCTAATTAAACAACCAACCAACCAACTTGAATTACACAGTTTTATTTCTGAGTACAGAAATGTGCTGAAGAGCAGTTATATAATCGGATTTCCATCTCACAGCGATGCCACTAAAAATGACTGAAAGCAAAGGAAGTTTCATGTGGACAGAAAACACTTTATTACAAACAGAAATCATATAAAATACACATCCTCCCGTTTAAAAAAAACGGAGCAGCTTGGTGCAAACACAAACAAGATAAAACAGAATAGTCAACACCCCCCCTCCCCAGAGAACTCACACGAGTGGCTTTGAAGCCAGTGAATGTCAGAATCGGAGAACCGCACTTTAGAAGTAGCAACAACAAATCACTCTTGTTGTGTAGGCAGAGGCAGCCATGCAGGAACGCTCCCAAATCTGAACACAGGGAGGGGAGGGAGGGGGAGGACGTGGGGCTGACAATGTTTTTTGTGGTTAAACTAAGTTGACAGGCATAAGAGGAGCTACTGCAGCATGAAACATCACCGAGCCAGAGGGTAAACAAAAAGAGATTAGGAGGAAACACAGGCGCAGGCTGTTTGAATACATTTGCATCACCTGTGGGGGCAAATTTACTGCAGCTCTGACCCTCCGCTCACGCTGCTTCTCACTTTTTAGCGCCGAACCAACAGGATGTTTTGGGGGACTAAGTGCTGGTGTTTCATGCCATAAATTAAAAACCAATTTATGCAGTAGGGTAAACCTCGTGTTTCGTACTGCCACAGCCAGAGGTTTTTAATCTGGAGCAGCAGCCGACAGGTCGGGGATGTTCGTGTTTGGCCGAGCAGAAGTTTTGTTTTCTTCCTTGAAATAACTTCAAACCCATTAGTTCTACATCAGTAGCTCGCAGAGGGATCAGAGCATGGATCGTCTCCAGATCAAACTGTTTACGGCGTCATAGCTTCAGCGGGATCACGGGCCAGTACTTGGGCTGCTTCAGGTCACAGTTTCTTTCGAAATTGAGTTGCATCGCCGCCTCCATGGCCATGATCTTGGCCGCATCCCCGCCGTACAGCTTCTTCATCTCGGCCGTGCGTCTTTCGCCGGGTCGCTCCAAGGGAGGGGCGACACTGCTCCGCAACGAGAAGCTGTGTAGGTCCTGATCGGCCGGCACGTAGCTGCCCTGCTGCTCCGCCTCCATCTGCTGCTGCTTCTCTGCAAGAACGACAACACGGACCATTTTTGGACACATACCAGACAGGCTCCTCACCTTAGACTAAACATCTGGAGAGGCTGCGCTTTTAAAAAATTGACCTTTTAAAGCACCTGCTCCCCTTTGTTTACTTACTGAGCTCCTCCCTGTGTCGCTCAGTCTGGGCGAAGTACTGCCGGAGCTCCTCACTGATCTCCATGTTGCTCACATCGCACTCAATCTCGCTTTCCGAGCTACTTTCCTCTGCATCGTCCGCCTCGTCTTCGCTGTTGCTCTCTGCAGAGCTCCAGTCAGCATAGCGAGGCCGGTCACCGGGCCCCTCCTCCTGGTAGCAGCAGGGGCCGTAGGCAGCCTCCAAGGCCTTTCTGTAGGCGCGCCTGTGCCTCTGATGCCACGCCATGGCCTGCCGATAGTGCTGCCAGTATCGGCTGTACACCGGGCTGGAAAACCAGGACATCACAGTGCTTATGTCCTCCTGCTGATGAGAAAGATGAGCAAAGGTCTTCTCAGCTTGATCATTTGAAAATGTCCTCTCTGACTGATCGCAGTGATTAGCATACAAGAACATGAGCTAAAGAGTGCTCCTGAAAAAGCCTCGTTTGTCAGTTGAGGGTAGAATAAGTGGCGTGATCCTACAAAATAAAAGCATTTCTATCTCAGTTTACTGACCATGACTGCAGACAGCTGCAGCTTCTGAGACGTTCCGCTTTGTTAATGTTTCGTCATCGGTAAACCTGCAATTTATGAACAAAGTGGTTTACGAAGGCAAACCAGCCAACAGAGAGTAAAGTAAACACCGCAGGTGTTTGAGAAACTCTCATAAACACATTGCGGGTTAGCGAGACGCGTGCTGACACCTGGCAAACAAAAATGGACGCTACGTACGTCACTTTTCACCCAGCCACACGCCAACAACACACTCCGACTTTTCACATCATTAATGTGTCAGTGTAAGCGTTGTGACCCGATAAATGCCTCACATTATCAAACTCTTACCTCTGTGGAGCCAGCTACTTTAGCATCTATCTTACTTCCTCGGAGAAAATTTCCCAGCAGCCTTTGAGTCCCTGCACAATAACTGCTGGCTATGTGGCGCCACCCAGTGGATCTTGTGCGAACATGCACCCACGTTCAACAGTTGGACGTCGCACGTGACAATAAAAACGCCGCTGCATATTACATTTATTGGTGAATTTATTCATTCTTTCCTTTTTATGCTAGTAAAACGGTAAGATTAGTATATTTCGCTGGCTTTGAATTATTAGCTTTACACGAGAGACACTCGCTTTGCTGTTTTTATTAAATTACACATTTATTCATCTAATACAAAATCTCACTACAACATTGTGAAACACAAAGGTGTTTTGTCATGAAGTAAATAAGGTAAGTAAAGGAAATAATTTAGAGGTTTTTATTTGTTTTTGTTGATGTCATTTGTGCACTTGCCCTTATTCTCATCCCTCATCTAAAAGCTGTTTGCGAGACCATGCCAGGCCTCAGGGACCGCCCCACATTTAACGCTTCTTTTATGCTTCAGCAGGTGCAGTGTGAAGGCCAAATCTACTTGAAGACAGTGCTTGTTGTCAGATGGAGGAAGTGTTGCTTGTGCTATTGTTGGTCTACCATGCAAAGTTATGAAATGAAACTGAGTGTTAACAACAATGCCCACTACAGCCACTGTACTTTCAGGTTTCTCCATCCCCCATAAACTCCACTTATACTTCTTTCCCTATTCTGGTCAACTTGTCAACCAATCAGCATCTGACTTGCAGATCATCCATGTACAGCGACATGCAATTGGGAGACAGGTGGGTGAAAACACCTTTGAAATGCAAACGCCGATGAACAATGTTGACTATATAGTGTCTGTTCTTGCTCATAATACATCTGGCACAAACATTATTGTGACTTACTGTGCTGGACTGAAATAAAATGACCCAGCAGATGGTGCAGTTTTAAAACGGTTCACTGAAATTTATTCTGCTGCTTTTTTTCTTTTTCCTTTTTTTGTTTTCAGCCACAAAGACACACATCTTGTGTGTCTTTGTGCATGCATGTGACCCCAGCTCTGACAATGAAAATGATTAAACTAGTAGCTTTAAATTGTCAGTCTCTTAAAATCCTTCCATTCTCTTCCGCTTATCCTTATCAGGTTCTCAGGGGGCTGGAGACTATCCCAGCTGCCACAGGTCGAGAAGCAGGGTACACTCTGGACTGACTGCCAGCCTGATGCAAAAAGATGGACAACCATTCGCACCTATGGGTTATTTAGAATCAACAATTCAACTAACCCCACTAAGTGCATGTCTGTGGACTGAGAGAAACCCACTCAAACATGGAGAGAACATGCATTCCACACAGAAAGGCCCCCATATTTTACGTTCTGCTATAAATATAACACATACACAATAAATACACATTTATAGATCTTTCCTGTGCTCTTGGGGGGCTCCAACCTGCTTATCAGTTTGCTTATGCTTCAGGGCCAGTTATGTTCACTAGGGACACACTTGAAATTCAGCCAGTTAAAGTACACTGTTGAGACAGAGGTCTTGCATGAAAGCATGGCGTTATAAGCTGTCAGCTAAGGGTTGCGGGTTGGTTAGTAGCCTGCAGATGCAACTCATGTATTCAGCAAGCTAGCAAAATCCAAGGTGTTGCACGTGATTTTTGATGGTGGTTAGTGGGGCTATTTAACATGTGAGTCCATCAGGATTGACTTTTGGGGCTGCTGTTAGATAGACCAGTGTCTGCACTGGTACTGAATTATATTTAAGGACGTTTTGTGTGATTGTGCGGTTACAAAAGGACAAAATAGGCATTTATTATTTTTTCAAAGCGATAATAAATATTTTTCATTCTTCCATAAATTGCTTTTATTTTGAAAAGCAGTATTACGTACACTGAATTTATTTATGTGACTAGATGCTGCATTTTAATTCACATTATGCACAATGACATGCTGTTACATGCATGCAGGCAGAGCAGCAACACACCAAGTTAATTTTTTCATGAATTCATGAACTTTGCAATCAATAATGACTCAAGCAGTAACTTACAGTGACTTTGAAAAGTATTCGGTCCCCTTGAACTTTCCCACATTTTGTCACATTACAGCCACAAACATGAATCAATTTTATTGGAATTCCAGGTGAAAGACCAACACAAAGTGGTGCACACGTGAGAAGTGGAACGAAAATCATACATGATTCCAAACATGTTTGTACAAATAAATAACTGCAAAGTGGGGTGTGCGTAATTATTCAGCCCCCTGAGTCAATACTTTGTAGAACCAGCTTTTGCTGCAGTTCCAGCTGCCGGTCTTTTAGGGTCTGTCTCTACCAGCTTTGCACATCTACAGACTGAAATCTTTGCCCATTCTTCTTTGCAAAACAGCTCCAGCTCAGTCAGATTAGATGGGCAGCGTTTGTGAACAGCAGTTTTCAGATCTTGCCACTCCACTTCTCACGTGTGCACCACTTCGTGTTGGTCTTTCACCTGGAATTCCAATAAAATTGATTCATGTTTTTGGCTGTAATGTGACAAAATGTGGGAAAGTTCAAGGGGGGCGAATACTTTTGCAAGCCACAGTATATACACATATGTATTTATTTATTAGAAAGAGTTTCATTTTCTATTTTTGTCAATAGTTAGATTTGCTTTCCTCGCATTTGAATGAATCAGGATATCATTTTGTTGTGCTTTTGGCTTAATGACAATAAAAGATTCTGATTTAAAATAAAGTTTGGAGTAGTTTGAATGAACTTAAATATGATTTGGAAATGAAGATTTGATCGCAGAGTTGTAGAAATGCCACACGTGACCTTATACAAGCGAGGACGCTGTCATATTTGAGTAAGGGGGTGTAAAAGCCGAAGAGAGTGTTTGAGTGCTGCTGAGATGTCTGACTGTATAAGTGGGTCATGCATTGGCTTCAGGCTTCAAAGCTTTCAGAGGAAATGCAAAAAGACAGATGTGTCTTTTCAGTGTTGTTCACATGGATGTGTTAACAGCACAAGCAAAAAGAATAATAAGTACTTCATTTTCTATTTCGGTGGTTCTGGATATCATCAAATATGTTGTCAACGCTTCCTTAAATATCACCCCATGCTGCTGACTGAGTGATAATACCTCGTGAATCGCACAGAGGAGGATTAGTAGTTTGGATTATTGTTTTATCATTCAACAACTGGATTAATTTCATTGCCTCATCCCCAAAGTGTCAAAAGTCGACACAATTAATGAGAACTTAATTGTGTCCAGTGATGCATGATTTATGTTCCGATATCTGTAGTGTTTGTAATCATATCTGCGATTGCCTTTTCTTCTCCTTCTGCTGGCAGGTCTCAGAGATAATTGTTTATGTGTCACCCACAACAATGTATAGAACAAGGCTGAAGCTGGTCAGGCAGCATCTGTTATACTTGATTTTGAGCTTTGCTTTCCCCCTTTTTTCTTTTTTGGTTGCATTTCTCAGATGAAAAAGAAAAGCCATTATCAGACAGCGATCTAACCAGCATTACTAACAAACAAGAGCAAACGGCACAAAGAGGAGGCCACAAAAACCCACACCTGAAACTATGAGAGGCTCCTGAAGCTGCGGTTTTGTTCTTATTTTGCTTTCTTCCTATGAAGTTCTTGTAAGCTTCGTATGTTTTGGAGTATTACCGCCCCCTCCTTATGTGCACATAGCCTTGCCTTTGCTAAAGCATCTTGCATCTTGGAACAATGGACTATCATTGCCACTGTCTGTGTAGGAGGGGGGTCTCGCTCTGGGGTGCTATCTGTTGCATCCTGTTAAAAAGGCTCATTACTTGTTTGCTTTCAGCTGATGGTGCGGCTGTTATGATACAAACGCCTCCATCAAAACATCTGTTGTAACCTGACCATTATTCACTGCGAGCCTTATAGTCCATGCTGCTCTATTTTTATTAGGTACATGTTCAACTGCTCATTTATGCAAGTAGCTAATCAGCAAATAACATTTAGGCATGTAGACACGATCTAGATGACCTGCTGAAGTCCACACTGAGCATCAAAAACGTAAAGAAAGACGATCTAAGTGATTTTGAACTTGGCATGATTGTTGGTGTCAGATTGGTTGGTCTGAGTATTTTAAAAAACTGTTGATTTACTGAGATTTTCCCACACAGTGATCTCTACAGAGAATAGTGCGAGCGAGGAAATATCAGGTGAGTGGGAGTTCTCTGGGTGGAAAAAGGCCTTTCTGATACCACAGGTCAGGGGAGCATGACTGCTATAAGCTGAAGGCTGGAGTCACTCAAATAACCAATCATTACAATCAAAGTAGGCAGAAGAGCATCTCTGAATGCACAGCACATTGGGCCACAGCAGCAGAAGAGCCCACTGGGTAGCACTCCTGTTAGCTAAGCACAGAAAACTAAGGTTACAACACACCAAAGTCGGACAGTAGAAACCTTAAAATAAACAACATTCAAAGATTTATTACCTCCCATACTGTAAGAGCACTGGACAGTCACATGTGTCTGTATGATCATGGAGGGAGTTTTCTAATGTTTGACCCTAAACGCTGCTTCTGTCTCCGTCCTATTTGTGCTTTGCTCATCATCTAAAGCCTGCATGCTTCGCTCAGGAGCAACATCTGTCCCCAGACAGCCACGTTGACTTTAACGTGCTTCTTTCTGTAATACATGTAGCGTTGCATTAACACAATCCTGTACATGATTCTGTTTATTAATAGTAGCTGAAAGCAGAAATGAAATAGCAGCTAGCATGCATTACTGTGATGTTTTGACCTAGTTTCATTTGTTCACTACTTGACCATATCATTCAACTATATCATCACATGCACATTTACCGCCGTGACAACCTTTCAGATCTATACTGAAGACAACAGCAACAGCCGCTCTGTGTCTTTGCTTGTTTGGTCTGGCGTCTAATTTTACATTTCTGTCTGTTTACCTGTCTCTGTCGCAGTTTCAGTTTTCAACTGTCTGCTTGTAGCTGAGGATGTTTTAATGCAGCTTTCATACAAGATCAGAGGTCTGGATTTGGACTGGGTCATTGCGACACCTCATTCTTTACTTTCCGTTGTAGATTTGCTGCTGAGTTGTGCTTGGGATCATTGTCCTGTTAGATGACTCAGGTTGAGCGAGGCTTTAGCTGTCAGACAGGTGGCCTCACATTCGACTCGAGTATACTTTGGTACACAGCAGAGTTCAAGGTCAACCCAAGGTAATGTACCCAAGGTAAGGTCGTGTGCCTGCAACAAGCCCAAGTCATCACCCCCCCGCCACCGTGCTGACAGTTGATATGAGGTGTTTGTGGTGATATGCTCGTTTAATTTTAGCCGAACGTGGTGCTGTGCATTATGACCAAACATCTCCACTTTGATCTTTGTTCCAGATGTCTTGTGGTTTGCTGAGATGCAAGTTTGCAAAGCTAACCCAAGCTGCTCTGCTCTTTGAAAAGAGGGGCTTGTTTTAAGGAAACACTTCCAATCAAGCCATACTCGCTGTCTTTTCTTTCACGAACTTTAACGTTTAACATGATACTTGAGGCCTGTAGCGTCTGAGATGTAACACTTTTTGTCACTGACCTCATGAGAACATAATGTATTAAAACACAACCTGAATGCTCCAGACCAGCAAAGCCCCCTTTTATAGAGGCCCTCACACGTGCTGATGATCAGTTGATGATTAGCAGCATCTCGCTGCTATCTTTGACAATCAGAAGCAGTAAGAGTGCGTTGAGTGTTTGTTAAAGAGATCATGACACGGTGTAATAGGTCACGTGTGGGTTACACATTTGGTTGACAAGCACCTCAGTTAAGTTCCAGGAGGAAGCACAGATCCCTTTGGGATTACATCAAGAATCCCATGTAAAAGGCTGCCAAAACAAACCAGCAGAGCTTTCTGCTGTGGCTAAAAGCGGCTGTTAGCGTTCATCTGAGACTTAAAAAATATTTTTTAAAGGTGTAAAGGGTTATTATGATACATTATTATATCCTTATATCTAAAACCTTTGATGTGAAAGCCTCTGAGGAGTATAAACACTGTGGCCAATGTGCTTTAGCACTAATGTTGTGATTAAAATGAAGACCCTCCAGTTTAGTCATTGGCTGAATGTTACTTGACAATTAGAAGCAGTTGCTTGTTGCGCTTCCCTGTCTCGGCACTTCTACCTTGACTCCACTTCTACTTGATACTTTTTCTCTTGTGGTTTGATGATTAGTGTGTCAAAGGATTGCATTCAGCAGGTTTCGTTTTCTTCTGGGTATAACGTCTTGATTTGTTTGGACATTGCTGCAGCTATGGACCAGAGGGCTTTGTGGTTTGCTCTGTTTCTGCCTCTGTCTTTGAGTTTTGACACTGAAGGTACTGTATGATTACACACATCCCATCAGTTTTAAAGTCTTGTAGAATAACAGCAGACTATAGCACTGACCTATTGTTCTTAAAGTAGCCTTTAACCCCTTTTTTGGAGACGGTTGGCGCAATTAGGCCAAACAGATCTTCATTACATCTTCTTTAATTGCAGAGACGATCATGAGAACCATTGGGGAACAAAAAGATGTCACTCCACTTTGCTCCAAGTCTAGAGTGGATTACATTTGGATAGTGTGCACGATAAAGACAAAAGGGAACGGGCCAAAAGGCTGTCGTCTGCAGTATCAACATGGACGGGGCTTTGAGAACGAGTGCGACTCCAGGTTCAGGCTGGTAAAAGAAAACCGAGTCGTGTTTCTCCAGATGATCAATTTAACAGCAGAGGATAGTGGGAAGTCCACCTGTGAGTGTTCCCGTAGCGATGGGACAGATATTATCCATCTCCTTATCTCGGCTGAAGGTGCGTGTTTGCTTTGTTCTTTCTCTCATACCTGTTTCTGTTTGCCTCCTGTGCTGCTGTTCGAGTTGTGCGCAGACTGCTGTTGAATAAATCGGACCTGCATCACAGACTCATTCTTTTAATCATGACTAAAATGAAAACTAATTGAGGGACATTAGCTCTTGTACTGATCCTAACATTAAAACTGGAGGTAATGTCTAAAGTCTGGTTTTGCTCTGTTTTTCTACGTTTTCTAACTTTTTCTTTTGTGATTTTTTTCTAGAAGCTCACACTTCTCCAGTGAGGCAGCTGATGTCTATCACTGTGATTTGTATATGTACTGGAATTGTCATTGTAGTCGGAGTTGTCCTCGGATTTATCCTGAGACAAAATCGCTGCAGGTGAAAATTTGTTTCTTGTACTTTAAATTTAAGCAGTTTGTGTTTACAACACGCAGAGAAAAGAACTGTAACTTAAACAACTGGACAATCAGTAATCAAACAATTTTAGTTTGTAAAGATGATTTAATTGTGCATGTCAACATTTAGAGATTAGAGATTAGAGAGAACATTAGACACTAATTTCAATCAAACTGTATGTAACTGAACCTGTAATAGATTTAGGATTACCTCATCTGTTTCACTGAAGCATGGCTCTAACTGTCACTTTTGTTCACAGATACCCTACAAGGAAAGAGCCACCTGTGTCAATAGTAAGTGAATCCTCTTGTTCTTTATTCTGTTGTTCTGCGTTCTTATAACACAGTAAAAGAATCAAATTTATTGTGTGCATTCCTACAAACTATACATTTAGAAATCTAGCTAGCCCTCTTATCCAATGCAACATAAAACACTTGGAGCGATGCATAAATTCTGTATAAGTCAGAAAATAAAAGTTGAGAAATGAAACCACTTGAAAATCCTCTCAGTTAGTTGGCAGCTGGCACTTCACCATGTGCACATGTCACTGCAGCAGTGCACTTGTAATTCAGAGAGATGGTGTAAAAAAAAAAATTACACTTGGCACTAAGCGATAAAACCTCATGAATGTTCGACACTCTCAAAAACATTGCCTGACAGTTATGCTGCCAGTGTTTAGAGCATAATGCTTTGGAGGAGCCCACTTAAGACAAACGAGGATGTCTTTTAAAGGATGCACATCTTAGAGACAGAGAACTGAGAGTCAAAGGGATTTTTCTTTCCGTTCAGGGTCAGTAGTGAGAGAGAAAGACCAGGGGGACTTTGGTAAAGCGAACAGCTCAGACTTTCAGTATGATTCAGGTTTCGCAACAACACTTGTAGCAGGACATGAAACATTTTTTCCAGCTTAATTATGTGGAAACCTTTATTTACCTTTAAAATGCTCGAAATGTCACGATTTGGCTTAAAGTCAGACACAAACGCGAGTACGGAGCAGAACAAAAGCCAAGCTTCACTGTGAGGCGGATGGTAATGTCAGCTAACAGGGCATGAAGAGGCCGAGGAAAACTCATAAGAGACGCAGCGAGGAAATCAATGGACAGTCAAGTGCAAAATGAACAGAGACCGAGCACTCGGTAATTACAATAGAATAACAACTGTCCAAAGGTTTAAGCACCAAAATATAAAGAAACCTCAGTTTTACATTCAAGTCACTGACCCTAAACACTCGTTTTAATCTAAATCAAGCTTAATTTTTAGACCAAAATGATGTGGAGACGTTAAATCTGATAGTCACCTTAATATATTACAAATATAAAGCAAGCTCTTGTTGGTTGAGCTGTCTGTGTTCCCTGCGGCTCAGGCCACCGAGATACTCGCTCAGCAAACACAGATGGGGTCACGCCTGCATGCAGGTCAAAGGTGACAGTCTTCAATTTGAATTTAAGCTGATGATACTCTTTGCAATCACTTCCCAAATCCCACCTTTATGCTAACTTTAATCTGGCAGAAGCAGAAGGAAGTTGGGAAGCAGCCATTATTGCTCATGTAACATCTGCTTGCAATGAAGCTGGCCAAAGCCCACAGAGAGAGGGCGAACCTCAGCAGCAGCAGCAGCACAGGTCTCCTGATCACAGCCCGAGTGCATAAGCTCATAGTGTGAACTATTATGTGACCTTGTGTTTTTTAAAGTGAGTCACTGGCTGCCAAATATATATGGAAAGTTTGTTTATGAGCACAAAAACCTTACACATTTGGATGTTTTTACAGGGTAAAATCGATTATGATGCTACATACACAAGCCTTTACCGGGAGTCAGATGAGTTCTACCAGACTGTGCGACGTCAGGCTTACAACAGCGAGGAGGCGACAGATAGAGATGCAGCCATCACTACGGTGACCGCCCAGCTGAAACAGGAAATAGAAAAAAGAAAGAGAGATCAAAGTTTTGACATATATCAGAATATAACTTTTTAAGAAACAACGATTTATTTTCTGTTTTTTTCTTTTTGTTACTGATGTGTTCATATCTTCAGCTAGTTTTTCGTTAAACTAAACAATGGAAGAAAACCACAGAGCAAGCTTTATATCATTAAATCATTATTTCTTTTGCTATGTGCCTCTAGGCCCTCAATTTCAATGCAATAAGATATGGGATCTGCTTTTAGGGTTTTATATTCATTCAATTAAAAGCAGCTGTTTTTAACTGTTTGCACTGCTGCGTGTGAGTTGTGTTGTTGTGGCCAGTGTCAGATGTTACTCCCACACATATGCACGTGTTTACAAAAAAACAAAATCACCAAACGTCGACCACAAACTAAATTGACCACAGACGTCTTATATGAAACTTAAATAAGAGCCGACATGAAACATTTTTGCATTCATGCACCTGAAAGTGAGAACTGAGAAGTTGAAGTTTACCCATCAGCCTTTGTGAAAAAGAGAGTTTCTCAGGACTCCTCTGCACTCCTACGCGCCCCCATCAAATAGTTTGTAGAAACACTTCTAGCTGAAATAACTAAGTAACCGTTTTCTGTATCGGTCGTTTAAATCATTTTTATATTTTTACAGTGTTGCTTAGGTTCATTGATGTTTGGGGACTTTCTTTTAGGCCTTAAGGTCCTACCGCTGCATTTAAGTTGAGCTTAGGTCTCGATTTGTGGTGTGCTTGGGATTATTTTCCTGTTGCATGACCCAGTTAGGGCCAAGCTTTAACTGTTGTACAGACAGCCTCACATTTGACTGTAGAATACTTTGCTACAGAAGGGTTCATGGTCGATTCAGAGTGCCACGGTCCTGTGGCTGCAAAACAAGTGCAAAACATCTCCTCCCACACCGTGCTTGACAGTTGGTGTGAGGTGTTTGTGCTGGTTAGCTTTGCAACGTTGCTACCAAAGTTGCGGGTGAACTGCCATCTTCTTTTCTCCTGGCAAGCTTTCCAAACAAGCCATCCTTGTTCAGTCTTTTTCTAACTGTGCTGTCATGAACTTTAATATTTAACATGCTAACCGGTTTTTTACATTTTTCGCACGATCTGAACTTGAGGTGAATTTCTTGAGAGGATTGTGGCAGAGTATCAGCACAAACCTGAATGATCCCGACCTGAAAAGTGTCAAAGCATCTGTTTTTATATAAGTGCTCACACTTTATTTGTTAGAGTGCATTTGATCAGCAGTACGTGACTGCTAACCTGTCCCACGGAGAAAGCAAGAGTGTGTTCAGTTTTTCACAGGTCTGTGTAGAGTGCTGTGAAAGCCTTTTAAATCACATCACTGTATATGAGACTTATAGGAACTGATGTATTTTAACAGGAAAGTAGAAGCAGTCAGGTTCACTTCTGTTTCAATCCACGTCACATCAGGTCACGTACAGGTTACTGTGCCTTAACACAGAGTATTAAAAGAACAGCAGGTAGACTTGAGCTTGATCTCTTGGCTCTATGGACGGATGGAGACGTGGATGGCTCGTTCTTCTGCCGCTGTGTGTGTGCGCTGACAGCAGAGGTACGGCACTAAACCTAGTTTACGATAGAAAGCTCTACTTTTTGTACTGATGTTGGTAAAATGTTAATTTTGTCCTTTTCACTCAGTGACTCTTGTGAAAACCACTGGAAAAGGGCCAGACATCACTCCAGTGTGCACCAGTCAGAACCTGACTTTGGTTTTAGTGAAATGTTGGATCAGCACAGAGAGACACACAGGGGAAACCTGCTGCCAGCTATACAGACTACAGCAGCCACTAAAGTGCGGCTGTGACTCCAGGTTCACGCTGATAGACGTGAATCACACTGTATTTCTCCACCTGACCAGTTTAACAGCAGCAGACAGTGGCAACTACACCTGCGAATGCTCATATGAAAGAGAAACTCAGGTTTTAAGTCTTAATATCACAGTGGAATGTAAGCTTGTTTGGTCTTTTTTATACTTTTCAAGATAATGTTGATCGTCTCTGATTTATTTATTTTGCGTCAATGTTCAGTAGAGGACGACACGTTTTCTGGCATGAAGTTCATGGCAACAGTCATCATCATCTCTGCTGTTGCTACGCTCATCATTGTGGTTGGGATAACGTGCTGTGTCACCCTGAGGAGAAATCCTCCCAGGTGAAAACTTTTTAACTTGTAAAATAACGCTTCATGATTTAAAAATGTCAGATTTTTTTTAGCTTCTTTGAAAGCAGCATGAAGAGATGCCCACATCAGCAGGTTGGAGGTATTTAATGTTCACCCTGTAAACTCTGATGTTTTTATTCTAACAGAGAAAACCAACCAGGACCATCTAACTTAACCAGATCTGAAACTCTGCAGACTTTGGTGAGTTTGACGTAGTTCTGTTTCACACTTCTCAAAATGTTTAGGGTCATGTGACAGCGTGTCTATTTTCAAACAGCACTGTAATTAAATATTATAATAAATATTAAATATGTTTAAATCCGAAATGTTGTTTAGGATGAAGTGGACCCCTACATGAGCCTTCAACACCCGACCACTGATGTCTACCAAACTATCTCGTCAGGTCGCCCCCAGCATGATGCTAACTCCAGTCCAGCTACCTGTGATGTCACAGTGATGTACATTAATACTCAGGGAATAGAAGGAAAAGAGTTACATGTTGATTATGCAATCTATGAAACTATCAAGTACTAAGTTGGAAATATTCAATATCTACTTAGTATACAAGGTGCAGATAATATCTGTTTATAATATCTGTAAAGTAAAGAGAGATATTTTGTTGTACAGAAAATGGGTCCTATAGACTAACATGTCAATCAGAGGGTAGAAAATGTGCTTAGAGGCCTTTTTTGTTCTGTTGTTTTGTTTTTGCATTTTATGTAATTCTGTGTGAAACCATCAACTCCACAACTGTGAATCTCAGACAAATCTATATTATTATATTGCTTCATGTCTGTTTGTTTGATTAAAATCACATTTAATAAATACAGAATTTCTAATAAAGTATTTTTAATCCCAATCAATCACCTCATCCACACAGCTGCATCTCAAAGACCAGAGGATTGTACAGCACCACAAACTACCAGAGGCTGTACATGTGTCGGGTTTGACATGTGTGCATTAATCCTCTGTTGTTGCTTTGAAATGTTTTACAAAGATCAAGATGTGGGTTTTAAAGTGACCTGAATAACACTTGAAAATAGGTAGATCTTCAAATTGAATTTAAAAAAAGGAAAACTTTATAAAAGAGGGATGACTGTTCCAGAGATGGAGAAAGGTGTGTCACTTTTAGATGTTAAGTGGGAGTGTGGAACCACTAGAGGACTGCAGGGTTTGAGTGGATTTGGCTGACAGATGTAATGTGAGTGTTATTTGGTAACACATCAGTTACATGTAATATTTACATTTCTTTGCGTTTGGTTTTCCTTCAATGTTTTTGCTTCATGAATTATAATTTTAACCTAACAATAATGGGTGAGGCTACATTTGAATCCATAAAAGTACTTCCTGCTTTTACAGCAGCTCAGTCCTCTGAACTTGGGTAGCTGCAGAAACATGCAAAGGGGTGTATCTGACTTCCACCCTGCAGTACAGTAGAGTACAGTGTACACAACCAGCAGCAGTTAAAGAGTTGTTTAGATGTATTGACCAGTATGGGTAGATGGAAACTGTGGTTTGCTCTGCTTCTGCTGCTGTTCTGTACAGGCAGAAAAGGTATCGTGCACGAGTTACTTTTATTTCTAAAGGATCGCTTATGTAGAGCGTTTTGATGTTGAATGGTTAATATATGTTGGTTTTAGAGGGAGAATATTTCCTTTACCAATAAATGTTTTATTTATTATTTATTATTTACTTTAATACAGGAAGTGCTAACATAGCAGCTGTAATTCATACTGAACTGACTTTTATTTTTTTGTACTGCAGCTTTCCAGGAGCACCGTGTGAAAACCATTAGTAAAGAAGCAGATGTCACTCCACTGTGCACCAATGAAACAACACAAGTTATCCTGCTGATAGTGTGTAAGATTCAAACAGAGAGGAGCAGAGGAGAAAACTGTAGTCTGATGTATCGACATGGACACGACTTTGAGCATGAATGTGACTCCAGGTTCACACTGATGACAGAAAATCAGACTGTGTTTCTCCACCTGACACATTTAACAGCAGAGGACGGCGGGAACTACACCTGTGAGTGTGTACAGACTGGAGGATCAAAAAAGCTTCATCTCAGTGTAACTGTGGAAGGTAAACTGTGGATTTATTTAATAACTTTTATGATTTACACTTTATGTATTTCTCTGTTAATTTTCTGCAGTGGTGACATTGTGATAATAATCATCACTGACACGTCTGCTGTAATTGTCAAAGAAATCAAAAAGCTTTATTTAACGAAAAATGTGAAGCAGTTAATCTGACCAAACCAATTATAAAACAATGTTCAGAATTTAAATATATGACAACACACTTAATACAAGTTAATATTACATGACAGGCAAGAATGCGTAGCATCCTAATGTTCCCTTATAATTGATTAGAACCTGTTTTACTTTTCAGAGTTTTTAAATAATGTAGACGGAGTCAATGCCACCACAAACAGTTCTGCAGAAGTAACTTTCTTCTATGCTGCAGCTGGATCAGCTGTATTCATCATCACATCTGGAGTTATTCTTGGACTGGTCTACAGCAAGAAATACAACAAGTAAGAGCTTTTTATAGCTCAAATAGTTAACTAAATAGTATGAAATAGCAAATTTATAACCTCCTTTTCTTTTTTAATTGTGTTTTTTCTCAGCAGAAAACATCATGCACTAATAATCAGTCGTGGAAACAACACATGGAAACTGTACACGGTAAAATGTTGCACTTGCCGAACTTTTCTCTGCTGTTCGTTTTACTTCAAAAATGTATTTTTTCATCTTTTCTTTTGCAGGAAGCAGAATACCGAGCCGCACAGTGTCTTCATGCAAACGAAGAATGGGCTTTAATTACAACGACTTCTAAAATCAACACGCTTACTATTTATGTAAACGTTTGAAGAGACATGATTAGGGAACGTTATTATTGTTGTTATCGTTTTATTATTATTATGTTGTTATGTTGTTGTTGTTGTTAAGGTATTGCATTTAAAGAGATTTATTTTTAGTATAACATGATGAATGGTTTTCTGGTGGATAAAAACGGAGGCAGGCTTACTGCCTTTGTTACTTTGCTACCTGTTTCACTCACCTGTAGATGTTTGAGTAAATTTTGTTTTAATGTTTTACATGATCATGTTGAATATTTCAAACATTCAAAGTTTTACAAAGAAAGTTTTGTCTATAACAAAAATAAATTGTTGATCTTTTTCATACCACAAAGTTTGTCTATTACCTGCAAAGCATTAGTGACCTTCTGTTACTAATCTGCATATTTTAAAGGTTTTATTAAAAAGAGGCTCACGCAGACATCATCTGGAGGAACACTGATGTTTCACTCTTAAACAAATATTCATGTTTTGTTTAAGAGTGATGTTTATGATTGATTCAAGCTGAGTGTTTCCCCAGTAATTAATGAGTCGTCACCTTGACCATCTTCAGTCTTCCTGTGTCAAGCTCCTGTCCTTAAAACACACATGACTCTTTTTCACTGTTCAGCACTGATTAAGCTTTAAACATGCCATCAACTTACAGACACCTGAGCACAAACGCTTGATGGGCCCAAACCACCTGAAGTTTAATGTGCAGACATTTTGTCCCGTCTTCAACAATTGGCTATAACATTACGGTCATGCAGTGTTAAATCATTATGAATGGCACTTTACATTTAGGCATCTAGCGAGTGCACTTATCCAGTTTTACTGTATATGCTAAAAAGTCTCCAATTCATTAGTAAGCAGACTGCTCATACTCTTCTTGTCTACAGCCTCTGTGTTGGTCTTCCAGTTCAGCCTGCTGTCAGTGGTGCTTGCACTCCACCACCAAATCAACATCCTGTCCTATTATAGATGCCAGCCATGTAATCATCGTCTTCCTTCTGAAGTCGATCACCAACTAATGGGTCTTTTTCACATTCAGGCCAGATGATTCCTCTGAGAACACACCGCAAAATCATACACTAGTTCTTTGTACTCCTCCACCTGCCCACCAGTAATACATCTAAAGTGTGAGGTGCACACGCTGAGCAGGAGTGGAGACAGCACAGCCCCTGTGGAGCCTGAATGCTGTCTAGTCTTATAGGCTGTGGCCTTTCTGTCAGGTAATCAGTAACCTGTGAGATAACAGACTAGTTCCCTGACATTTTCTGTAGTTTCTGTCTCAGAAACAGTGACTGGATTGTGTTAAATGAACTCGAGAAATCAAATATGATGCTGTGTCAATTTACTCAATAACTCAAAAAATGTTTCATATTTTAGAGTCTTTAAAATAGCCACTCTTTGCTTTGACTACTGCTCTGCACACTCTTGGAATTCTCTTGATGAGCTTCGTGAGGTCGTCACCGGAAATGGTTTTCCAGCAGTATTGAAGGAGTTCCCAGAGATGCTGAGCACTTGTTGGTCATTTTGCCTTCACTCTGTGGTCCATCTCACCCCAAACCATGTGTACTGGGTTTAGGTTAAGCGACTCTGCAGGTGGGGGAGAGACATAGGAGAGGTGGAGAGTAAACTTAACCTGGGTGTCTATTGTCTTGTGTAGTCTGGGAGATGATTGAATGTTAGGGTGGGTACAGTTTCCTCTGCGGTGGGGTCGGGTGGGCTGGTCCGGGTCCTGTGGGGCTGGGCGGTCCTGCTGCCGTTGGCCCCGGTCTGGATGGGCCTGGGCTCCCTTGCCTTGGTGGGTGCCGAAGGACGGGGGTGCCTCTGTAAGTGCGCCCCAGGGTGGCTGTGGCTTGCTATCACCAGTGTGTGAATGTGTGTGTGGATGGGTGGATGACTGGGTGTGTAAAGACTATTAAAGCGCCATACAAATACAAGCCACTTACCATTTATTGGGGTCAGCGGGGAGCTGACCCCAGCAAGGGGCATCTAGCCCCTCCCTTCTTTTCCTCCCCATCCCCGGCTGCCTCCCTCTTCCCGCTCCACACACACAATTAGGTGCGGGTGTGTCACCAGGGTGCAGGGGAGGCACTCCCCCCCCCGTCCCCGTCCCCGTCTGGCCACCGGTGCCTCAATTTTATTCCACAACTTAGACATCCACATTACTCACACTCTCATAACACATACATATAGGGCCTTGAGGGTGGGCACGTTAACGGTCTGTGTATTCAACCCCACCTCTCAATTTTAAATCCATGTAGGCATTGAGGGTTCTCGGGAGGGGCTGTGCTAACACCTGCTGCTCTCTGGCAGCAGCACCATGCTCTCCCGTGTTTTAAATGCACCTTAGAACAACACGCAGCAACACTACACATGAGCGGGAGGAGGGAGGTTTGGGGTCTTCACACACCTCTGTTCTCTGCTGGCCATCGGGGCGGGGGGGCTGGGAGAAGGTGTTGGCCGGCCAATTGGGATCTGGAATGCGGGGCCTCCCTGCTGCTGCAGAGCCTGGGATGGTCTGCTTGCCTCCACCCCGGGGGAAGGGTAACATCTCCTGGGTCTGGGTGCTGTTTCCCCCTCTGGGGGTGAGGGTACCTGGACCCGGGGTATAGAGTATGTTTGGGGAGTGTGATTGTGTGTACATGTCCATGCATGCCTATCCCTACGTTGGGTGAGTGTTAAGTATTTGTATATGTGTGCATGAGGGTGGGAATGCATGTTTGTGTCTGTGTGTGCCTGTTTGTCTGTGTCTATATGTCAGGTCGGGTCTTAGACTTCACCTCTCTGGGAACTCCCAGGCCCTCCAAGGCCTATCTCCCCTCACCACACTCCCTGCCGGTAACTGATGCCCTCAGGGGTTGGTGCATTGGTGGTTCTTGGTGTCCGGGGCTGGGTGCTCAGGTATGCACCAGCTCACACCCGGTGGCTACCTGGCGGGGCCTGGGGC